TCACCACCACACTATCTCTCTCTCACACACACACTCTTCTCTGTCTCTCACACACTCTCTCTCTCTCACACACTCTCTTCTCTCTCTCTCTCTTTCTTCTCTCTCTCTCTCTCTCTCTCTCTCTCTCTCTCTCTCTCTCTCTCTCTCTCTCTCTCTCTCTCTATGGGTGCTTCTGTGCATGGCCGAGCTGGGAAACACCCACAAACACAGAGAGAGAGCTAAACACGCATCACATGTTCCTGTACAGCCGGTCGGACGGCATTCACACCAAGAGGAGGAGGAGGAGGGAGGAGGAGGAGGAGGAGGGGAGGAGGGGAGGAGGAGGAGGAGGAGGAGGAGGAGGAGGGAGGGAGTGGTGAAGAGAGAGCCTGAACATCCTGATGTGGAGCAACTATCAGTAACATCAGAACTCTGGCGATCTTTTAATTTCTTTATGCACAACCAAGAGGAGTAACAGCACTAATAAAGAACTCTGTGTTCACAGCAGGGAGTCCACCATGTGGGGGTCAATAACGTAACCAGATGAGTGATTACAGCACCCGGTATCATTTCACACACATGTGTATCATACAGATGCAGGACTTGAACACGCCTGTTATCTAACGACAGGTCCGCACGCACTCTCCAGCCGAAACTCTCTCGTCTCATTCATTTAAGCATTTTCGTATTAGTTTATGCAGCCAAGCCCTGACCAATCACAGGTTGGCAGGGGCATGACGTGAGCCTCATCTGATCGGTCAATCCCTCCCATTTATTTCACTAAGGGAAGCCAATTTCGGCTGGCCTCCTCTCGCAACAGAGTGCAATCTACTGTTTCACCATAACATCTAGAGGGGCGCTGTTTCCCTCTTTGTAAAATATCAATAGCTGCGTTCACACCGAGTACTTGCCCGTACTTAGTGCCCCGGCACTTATTACCCCAGAGCACTTAGTACAGATCACGTTCACACCGCGAATAAGTTCCCTGAGGGAAGATTACGCAAATGAGCCGCTGACGTCACTTCTTCCTTCTTCTGCTTTGGGTTTACTGGCAGGCCGCAAACAACTTCACGGTGTATACTGCCACCCGGAGTCCCCGGCCGGAAGTCCCCGGAGTTGGGGAAGGCTTCAGTTGAAGCTGCTGGGACTCACCAGCAGCTTCTACTGAAGCCTTCAGAGTAAATCGCACAGAACACCGACACCTCCTCATCTCCACCGCTCCCATGTTTTTATTTTGTGTTGCCATAAGTTATTCTCTCCTTCGTTTGTGCGCTGGGCGAATGCTAATGCTAATAATGCTAATGCGAGGATAATAAAATGGCGGCTTTACAAAACATTTCAGAGTTGTACGGGGCGTGGTTTGCAATTCGCCCAGCCAATCAGAACTGGGGCACTTTTTTCCCCACAGGAAAGTACCATCTCTCAGCAGGCACTAAACATGGGGGTAAAAGTTCCCGGCACTAAGTTCTCTTTTTGGTGTGAACGCGACATCAGGGGTACTAACGGAACTAAACGGGAAAAGTACGGTGAAAAGTACTCCGGTGTGAACGCGACTAAGGAGAATGGGGGAGAGATGGCAGCAACACACAGCAAAGAAGAATTACCGAAACTAAACAAAGTGTTTTTATTTATTTATTAAAATGATAACTACAAACCGAAAAAACAGGGGAAGCCCGGCTTCCCTTGGCCTCCAGGAGAAAACGCCACTGACTAACATAGAACTACAGCAGAGGAATAAGGCCTCTTTAAAACATGCATCCAGCAGGTGTTCCTGAACATCAGCAGCACGCTGACCTCTAGTGGCGTCATGGTAAATCAACACAGAGAGATATTCTCATCCGGACCATTTACAACGAGGTGTGTGTATCTAGAGCAGGGGGTCCACACTTTTTCACTGAGGGCCACATACAGAAAAACATACGAAGGTCTGGGCCGCTCACTAGAGGTTTATCGCCTCATAAGCTCTGTTATAAGTCAGCAAAATTAATCAAATGTAGGTGAAAATAGGGAGGCGTGTGGCGCAGTGGGTTGGTGTTCAGATCAGGGGAGCACAGGTTCAAACCCCACTGCAGTCAGCATGTTGTTGTGTCCCTGAGACACTTAACCCCAAAGTGCTCCTGTGTGGATTGACCACAGTATTGAGTATGTAAGTCGCTTTGGATAAAAGCGTCTAACAAGTAACATGATTATTAATTATTCTTGTGAGTGTTGGCAGCTCATCCCTCGAGTGATTATAATAAGGAGAAATAGGAAGGGTGTATTTCTAGCTTGTTATGTAAATAAGTCATTGGGCTTTTTCATATCAACTAAGATATGTTAGAAAATGTTTCCAACTTTATCTGAAAAGTGGTCGTATTAACGCATGAATACTACTGTGTGATATGTTTACATTTACAGTTAAGAAGTACATTATAAGATAAGCACAAGTTTCATTTGTGGGCCGTATTCCATTATACTTTTTTAATTTGCTGAGGGCCGATTCAAAATGGTCCCCGGGCCGTAGTTTGGACACCCCTGATCTAAACCCTGATCAGAGGGATTGATGTGTGCAGACTGTGACCCCCCGCCCTGCAGGAAGCTGTCTCCTGTTCCTCTTCCAGGTCACAGGTCAGAGTAGGGAGGGAGGGAAGCACCAGGAACACCTCACTGTGATGAAGCAGATCTGGCTGTCATGATCTTAGTGTGTTTAGTTTCCGGTTATATTTTGAAATTCTGTTCTCCTGTGTCTGGACTTCCTGCCTGTGTTTGCCCCTGTGTGATTGTCCCTTTGTGTTCACCTGTGGTTGTTGTTGTTGTTGTTGTTGTGTTTCTGCCTCCTCTCCCCAGCTGTGTCTTGTCCTGTGATTTCCCTTCTGTGTATTTAGTCTTGTTTCCCCTTTGCTCCATGTCTGATCGCCGTCTCTCTCGTCCACGTTACCTGCTCCTGCTTGTAAGTTACTTCCCGTTCCTCGTGTTCCCCGGTTTGATAATGTTTAGTGGTTTCAGTTTTTTCTTTGTAATCGGCTTTTGTTAAATAAAGCTCGCTTTTTGTCATACTTTGTACCCCTTCTCCTCATTCTGCGTTTGGGTCCTCCTGATAACCCCCAACCCTGACAGAACGACCGAACCAATATGGACCCAGCAGTATTTGTTGAGGATGCTCTTGAACTATCCTACAAGATTTGGTGTATGTTTGGAGAGTGGAGGAGGGCTCCCTGTAAAGAGGCTCAGGAGGCTGCTCTTTCACGTGCACGCCGGGAAGTGGCAGATCAGCCCAGGTGAAGAAGCTTGAAGAAGCTCACTGCCAGCAGCCAAGCGCCCGGCCCGAGCCCCAGCTCCAGTCCTGCCTTCTGCCTCTGTTTCTGCTCCTTCTCCCGCACCTAATGGGGGTCAAACTCAATTTCATCGCGGGCAACATGGTTGCACTCAAAGGGCCGGTTGTAACTTTAAGACTATATAAATATACATATATAAATATATAATATATATAAATAAGGTATTATATTACATGATTGCCTCTGCATTGGATTTTTATCAGATAGGGTAATAACTTCAGAATTAACTAAGTCTGAAAGCAGAAGTCTAGGGCAAATAATTGCAAGTCTCTTCAGTGAGAATGTCACAAAATGAAAAAAACAAAATATGTGAAATTTTGAAAAAAAGTAACATTTTGAAGAAAATAAGTCAAATTCTGAGAAAAAAGTCAAATTTGAGATGCATTGTGGGACATGTAGTTTATGGGCAACGTGCTTCTGTAAATCGGCATGTAATCGTATAATAAACACATCATATTCATTCAGAGCTCTTGTGGGGCCGCATGACATGAAGTCACGGGCCGGTTTGGCCCCCGGGCCTTGGGTTTGACCCCCCTGATCTAACCCCTTCCTGGGATCCCGCCTGGCCTTCGGAGGTCCACGGAGCCTCCAAAAGCTCAGTCCCACCGACTCAAGCCCCTTTTCCGTTGGGGGTCCTGCCAGGAGCAACAACTCAACATGAGGAGGACACAGCTACCAAAACACTGGTGAAGAACATCAACATTTGGACAAGGAAACACTGTCCGTCAGCTTTGAGGTTTTTCTGTTTTTTTGGCGACAAACAAACTCCAAACTCATGCGTACACTCCTACCTGCACGAACATTGCTATTGAACCTGAATCTACTAATATATTTGAGTTGTACTGCCTTTAGGCCGCTTAATAGAAGTGCACACTACAAAAACTCTAAATCTTGCCCAGTATATGTTATCTAGTCAGAATATGTCTCTCCACCTGATATCAGACACAATCACTTCAGAAGTAACACTGCAGTGAAATATAGGCTCTTGTTTTTAAACAATGCATCATCCTGTTAAGTCAAATCATCTTATTCTGAGTTGTATCTCAGATGAAACACATATTTGTTACGTATTAGAAAATCACCAACTAACATCCGAACACAGAACGCTTTTGAGCATTCGCGGCTTAACACACCATGTCCTGATTCTGGTGAAATATAGTTCAGAATGAGTTCTCCAGATAATTACAAGATGTGATTTATCTAAATATCCCTTCTTATTTCAAGAGATCCTACCAAGCAAATGTTCACGGCCTGAGCGACCGGGAGGAGCCTCAGAGAGAAGAAGAAGGCGATGTTCAGATGCCACCGTGACACTTTTAGAAACGGATTTGTAACAAAAGGGGCTTTTTGACCACACAAATTAAAGCGTGACCCATTTCTGCAGCGGCCTATATGTTGTGTTTGTGATCGGGTTTGCGCATGCAACAGCATCTCTGTAACCCACAATGCACCTGCAGAAAGCCGCGCACCACAGTCCAGCTCTGCAGCTTCCTGTTCGTACCCTCAGAAGCATGAAGACATGAAGACCCTGGTGCTGCTGCTGCTTCACGGTGAGGGGCTTCATTTCATCTCAGGTTAAAGATCTGTATTCTGCTTTAGGAAATATATAAAGAGGGATTTCATTTCTAAGCCTTTGGAGAACGATGAACAGATGAAATGTTGATTTACATTTAGTTCAGGAAATCTTTGGTTCGATAACAAGATAAGATTCTTTAATTGGACATTTTGATTAACTGTTTATGTTGATATCAATATTTTTAATTTCTTTTTCTTTAAGTTCGATTCCGTAACTTTTTTTTTTGTATTCTCATGTTTGTAGAATTATTTTTATATTATTTTATTGGACATTTTACCTTCAATATCTTCTGTTGATATTTCATTCTTAAATGGAGCACCAAACCCAATCTCCCCCAACATGAATTAAGTATTTAGATTCAGATTTTATACATTTGTTTTAAAACATGAACATGGAAAGTATTTACAGTACAGGTACAAATGCTGTTTCTCACGGGAATATTCACAAGCAACCAACTCACATGCACTCTGAATGTACATCAGCAGACCCACTGTTGGTATTACATGAAAGAGCTTCTTCTCAGATTCCCTTTTCCTTTCTGTTTCAGCGAGTCTGCAGCTGCAGTGTGATAAGAAGCAGATCACGGCTCCCCTCGGGTCAGACTTCCTGCTCTCCTGCAGCTATGAGAACCAGCTGCTCAGCAACAAGTACTGGTGCCGAGGAGAGTCCAGGAGGACCTGCGAGGTGCTGGTGGACTCGGAGGGGAAGACCAAAAGCACCCGGGTTCGCATCGTTGATGCTCGGAGGAGAGGACTGTTTGTGAGGGTCTTAGATCTGCAGAAGGGGGACAGCGGGGTCTACTGGGTCGGGATCGACAGGCCTTATGCTGACATCATGACGTCAGTGAGCGTGGTCGTCACTGAAGGTGAGAATACACATGCAGGTGGAGAGGGTTAAATATTGAACTAACAGGTATCACCATGAAACCCCCGTGCCCGGGTGTGCCAGGCAGCAGACGCACAGGATCACGATGTAACGTAATGCCCTTCCCTTTGTAGACATTATAGTAAACCAAGTGCAATCAAGCTGGGTTTGCACATGGACAAACAATTGGGGCTTTCTTAAATGTATTTTGTGGTTTGTGTTCCAGCTGTCAATCAGCCTGTGCATTTCAAGCAGCAGCAACTCTATCCACCTTGTCAAATGAAATAAAACAAATGTGTTGTGTTATATCAGCTGCACAATTGACCAAATATATGGTGTTCTTAGCAGGGGCGGTTCTAAGGGGGGCCAGGGGGGGCCAGTGCCCCCCTAACACTAACCTTGGACCCCCTGTGGCCCCCCTGGAAATGAAAAGTTTATGATTAAATGATTTCTTGGCTGACGGAATAACGTTATTTGTCATTGTTAGAGCCAGTATTTTGATTTGATAAGAAAGACCACCTAATTGTGACGTCTGTAGTCAACACACTATAAAGGACTACAATTCCCACGGCGCCTGCGCTAAAGCCACAGTGATGGGCAACCTGTAGACGCCGTTGAGGAACAGTTTTTAACCGTACACGTACACGTACACGTACACGTACACGTACACGTACACGTACACGTATACGTACACAAATCGTACAATTACCCTTAAGCCTTAACAAGAAGAACGAATACCTAAGTTGTTTGTTATTCTATTTGAGTTTTGCTTCTTTGTTTTGAATATTGTAAAGGCCTCTTTTCTTTTTGCATGTGTAAAAGTTTGTTATTTTATTTTGAGCAAACACATCGCTTAACATCATCCAAACCATCGGAGGCCGAGTAACTCTTCAACTGTAAGTCATTTAAAGGAAAAAACGAGTTAGAAGTGTCTGTTTAAAGGGGGGACCTATCATGCAAAATGCACTTGTGTACGTCTTTTCTACATGAATATGTGTCCCCGTGTTCCAGGGAACTCACCAAGTGTCAGAAAAACACAACCCTCTCTATTTTTCCTCCATACCCAAATCTCTAAAAAAGGGGCTGCAACGGATCTGATAAAACTGATCCAGATTTGAACACTGTCCTGACGTCAGGACGGTGGCGCTACGGCTATTGGGCCAACTCCACCAATCAGGAGGAGACAACCAGGGCCATTGCCGTTCGAAAGCGCTGGAGACGCTGTAGTACATATGCCAGGCCTGTAGATGGTGCTGTTCTCACAGAATCAGCCCTTGCTAAAACAGAGCTATAAATGGTCAAATTGAGCAAAATGAGGCATGGCTAAAATGCATGATCTGTTTGGTATTTTGAAAAAAAAAAAGTATAAATATTCCTTATATAGGTATGGTCCTACACTATATTATTATAATATAGCATGATAGGTCCACTTTAAGGCGTCTAGTGGCTTGATAGAAAGACAAGGAAGGAAGCCAAGACAATCATTCTAGTCGGACCCATTAGAGCGTAGAAACTGTAACTATCTGAAATAAATATGTGTTCTGAAATAATAACTGTATGCATTGTTTGCTTATGCGCAATTACTTCATACTGTCTTTGTCTTTTTCGTCCTGCATTTCTTGTGCCCCCCTCAGAAAATAACGGGCCCCAGCCCGGCCCCCCCACTCAAATTGGTCTAGAACCGCCACTGCTTCTTGGTTTCCATACCTCCTGTGTTTTACGAGCGACTTATCAAGTCTTGGCAAACGGAACAGAAACATGATTAAACATGATAGTATTGTAGCGGCCCTGTATAGGGTGCTGTGTGGGTCTCTCAAGCATCTCCCATCTCTCTGCCAATCACAGAGCTGCACAGTGATGCTGGTCGCTGTGCAGCCTGTGGTTGGGGAGCAGGGGGGGGGGGGGGGGTGGCCAGCGTGTGACTTAGACCCTGGTGTTGTAGTGTCAGTGTGTGGAGAATATAGCATGGTAATGAAGTTGGCCCATAACCTGTAACCAGGGTTTGAGTTATGTGGGAGCCAATGGGAGCTGAGCTCCCATAAGGAGGGGTCTGAGCTCCCACGGACGCAGTGAAATCATACATCTGTGGGGGTCGCTAATACATTACCAACAACTATTATTTTAATCACAAATAATGCAAGTGTCAATGTAATGAGTATTATTTACGTCAACGAGGTAAATAGGCTAAAAGAAAAACATGTTTTCCAAAAGAACTACGCATCTCTTGAATGACAATATGCCTGCGCTGCACAACACATTATTGCGCAATCTATGCCTGTGAGCTTGCTGCGCGAGCTGAGATGATGTGTGTGGCGTAGTTGAACCTTTTCATGTTTAAGTTTGTAGCAAGTAGAGGGCTGCTGCTGTGTGTGTGTGCGTGTGTGTGTGTGTGTGTGTGTGTGTGTGTGTGTGTGTTTGTGTGTGTGGTGTGTGTGTGTGTGGTGTGTGTGTGGGTGTGTGTGTGTGTGTGTGTGTGTGTGTGTGTTTGTGGTGTGTGTGTGTGTGTGTGCAGGGGTTAAGTTGGGATTTGATATGTGGGGGGGGCACCAAATGTCACAATAAAAATAGAAAGTACTACAAATGAACTGGAATTCATTTACATCTTAAATTATTAATATATACACAAAAAAAGGTTTACAAATATCCAACCTTCAAATTGCTTTTTTAAATCAACACTGCTCTGCACACTTGCTAAAGAACATTTGTGTGGAAATCTCAATTCCTTTGTAGGGCTGCGTGAGTATGGCCAAAAGTATGGGAGTAAATCTCACTGTAAACTATTTAATCATCACCAAATTCTGTGTTATTATGACTGATCATAACTCAGCTTTATGCAGACATACATTTAGCATGGTGTACAGGGCCGGTTTTTGGCATAGGCGACATAGGCGGTCGCCTAGGGCGCCAGATCTGGGGGGTCGCTGCCTGGCAGCTCTGGGAGGGAAAAACAAACATTTTTGACTGTTTGCGCTCATCCTAATTTCAGCCTTGATGTAACAACATTAATAATTAAGTAAATGTAACACCCTTTTCACCCCGGTTACACTTTTCATTTGCCCTGTACGATGGGCGCTGTAAGTGATGAAAGTGGGGGGTGTTGGCTTATCAGGCGCCCGCAGCTCACAGCCAAAGTGGGCGTGGGAGCAAGAGAGATAAATGCAGCTAAAATCTCGCCTAGGGCATCAAATTGGTTAGAACCGGCCCTGATGGTGTAGGAAACGGGCTCCGTGTTACAAGACGGGTCGGGGGTTTGGTGGTACCGCTGCAGACTCTCCACATGTGTGTGTGTGTGCGTGCGTGCGTGCGTGCGTGCGTGCGTGCGTGCGTGCGTGCGTGCGTGCGTGCGTGCGTGCATGCGTGCTAGTTTTAACCTTTAACCTGATTAGGCGTTCTCTGCCGGTTATAAAGGAGCCATTAAAACCCAAGAACTTCAGTCCTGTCTAATGCAAAAATAAATACATTTATGTCATCAAGTTTTTTTATTTAGTACATTTTAACAAGGCAACTCAAGTTTTTTTTACTAAAGAAGATATGGTGCAAAGGAAGCACCTTATAAAACTACATTTAAATACAGTAATGACAAAGCCAACAGAAATGAAAACAAGATGAATTGGAATAAAAAAAGGTTATCCAGCTCTCCTCTGTGTTTCAGTCCCGGTCTCTAAGCCCCGCCTCCAGCCCCTGGTCTCCCTGATGGAGGGGTCCACCTGTCGGGGGGGTCCGGTGACGGTGCGATGTGTGTGTTCACGGGGCACCGCGGTCCGTTACTCCTGGTTCCGACACACACACCCCGAGGACGTCCTGCTGCAGAACTCTGCTGACCTGCAGCTCACCTGTGACTCTCTGCCGGACGCTGAGCTCTACTGCAGCGTCAGGAATGAAGTGAGCTCAGAAAGGAGTGAGAGCCTCAGAGTGAACATCCTCCCTCCTGCAGACTCACACTGCAGATATGTGGTTCACATGCCGGGTAATATAAATATCAAATATAAAACCTAATGAAAGAACTGCTATTCCTACGATGTGTTTATAATAAACGTACCTTTCAAAATGAATCACAGCGAGTAATAAGACATGCTTCAGATCGTGGTACATAACTGTTTAATAGCTGCATACATAAACACAGTGAGAGACATTCATTCAATACAAATGTAATTGATTAAATACATGTTTCTAACTACACTTAACACAACAAGGCAGTTTGTGTTTGGTAGTGGAGAGCCGATGAAAGGGAGTCAGAGGCGATGTGTTCAGTATGGAACTCCACACTTTATTATCCATTTGCAAGAAGACAAGGTAAGTACATCTGCTCGTTGCTACCGTCAAGCTAGCATGAATAACACCACACGGTACCCTCACTAACGGGTCCGTGTTGCAACACACAATACTCCCAACGGTGAATTATGTCCCATAACGTGTCACCACAGTAGACTATTTCTATGTTGTAACAATGCTTTTGGCATTGCTGTGTTTGGTTCTTCCTCACGCTACTGAGGCTGCTTGCAGAAATGAATCATCCATCCATCCATCTTCTCCCTCTTCTCCGTGGTCGGGTCGTGGAGGTATCAGTTCCAGAGAGCCCCAAACGTTCCTTTCCCTCATCAACCAGCTCTGACTGGGGGGTCCCAAGGCGCTCCCAGGCCAGAGAGAGATATAATCCCTCCACCTGGTCCTAGGTCTACCCCTCGGTCTCCTCCCAGCTGGACGTGCCTGGAACACCTCCCTAGAGAGGCGCCCAGGTGGCATCCTTACTAGGTGCCCGAACCACCTCAACTGGCTCCTTCAACTCCGAGTCCCTCCCGGAGGACTGAACCTCTCCCCTTATCCCTAAGGGAGACCCCAGCCACCCTGCGGAGAAAACCCATCTCGGCCGCTTGTATCCGTGATCTCGTTCTTTCGGTCATGAATTTCGGTTAAATGAATCAATTGTTAATAAATCAATTGTTGCCAATATGTCTGTATTGATCAGATTTCAATCATCCACTCCACCAAACAAGAGTCAACAGAAAAAAAAGCTGTTTGGCATTGGCAGAGGAGATTTGTCACATACTCAGCTCTGCTGCTTATCCCACACATGCATGTTCCTCACAAAAGTGGTACCATTGGAAAGATAAGAAAACAGACTTTCCATCGGTATAAGATTTAATGCCAAAAAGCATTGTTACAACATAGAAATCATCTACCAAACACAAATTGCCTTACTTTTTGTGTTACGTTTAAAAAAAAACTATTTTACAACAATCAAATCAAATCAGGTTTTATTTATAAAGCACATTTAAAAGCGATTTTTGGTCGAGCCAAAGTGCTGTACATGTAATAAAAACATATTACTACAATCACAATAAAAGACAATAAATTACAACAGATATATATAAAAAATAAAAATAAAACACAAGGAAAAGTCAGGAGTCGTGCTCCGCTCTGACTAGAAGGCCAGAGAGAAGAGTGTGTTTTTAGTGTAGATGAAACAATGATACTGTTTATACAGGGCCGTCCCTGGCCAACATGAGGCCCCACGCAAAGTTATATGATGAGGCCTTCTGTGTCGCGAGCGTCGTCGACGGGTGCTATGGAGCCTCGCAGCGGCGAAACCCTGCCGCGCCGCATAAGCGCATAGGTACGCCGCATTTTCGGCTCAGTTGAGGCACCCTCCGCAAGATGAGGCCCCATCCGCAAGATGAGGCCCCATCCGCAAGATGAGGCCCCTCCGCAAGATGAGGCCCCATCTGCAAGATGAGGCCCCATCCGCAAGATGAGGCCCCCTCCGCAAGATGAGGCCCCATCTGCAAGATGAGGCCCCATCCGCAAGATGAGGCCCCATCCGCAAGATGAGGCCCCCTCCGCAAGATGAGGCCCCATCCGCAAGATGAGGCCCCACGCAGTCTGCATGATCGGCCTGTAGGGAGGGACGGCCCTGTGTATATACAAATATTTAGACAACGTATACATATACCAAATAAGTACAATAAAAGATAACGAAACACTGATAATATTATTTTTTAAAAGCAATTAAAAACTAAAATATGTTCTTTAATGGAGTTTAAAGTGGAGATCTGTGCAGATTTCTTAAAGAGGAAGCGTAGAACTGAATGTGCAAATTATACAACTTATTTAAGAAACATGATGTGCATGAATAGGTTTCTAAAGAATGCACTGATGAGGCTGTAATGCTGTTGTGAAATCCTCTTGCACAAGTTCCTGAAAGAAAGCCATTGTTTTATTGTTTAATCACCAGGCCAACCTGTTTATGACTGTGCTGTGAGCTCCACGGCCCAAACCACCCCCCCGACCTCCTGTCACACCACCGGGGAAATCCAACCTGTCACCACAAACCAGCTGATCAACGCCACCGAGACACACCTGCTTCTCAGGTCAGAAATCACATCTAAAACACGATGATTTGTTACAAAACCATGCATGAAATGACACTCATCCAGTCTTTGTCTTTTCAGAGTGTTCACAGGAGTGCCGCTCTGGTACACGATGCTGCGATGGGGTTCATTGCATCCTTGGTGATGTTTATCTGCGTATTTATTACGTGTGCTAAAGTGAGAGACAAGCATGCGAGAGGAAGAGGAGGAGGAGGAGGAGAGGAGGGTTGGGATCAGAGGAAGGCCGCAGTCTGCAGGTTGAATCGGCTCCGTGACATTAGGTCTTTGTGATAAGAGTCTGGGTCATAATGCACGTCAGCGTTTATCAGACTTGTAAAACAACCACAACATGAGATTAACACACACTTTAAAGTAATCTGTTGAACGAGCAAAGAATCATCAACGCCTTCAAAAGATGGATTAGAAAGAGATGCACAACAACCAAAGAGAGAGGAATACCACAAAAGAATGAAAAACAGAACGATGACATTAAAGGTTGAAAAAAAGATGCAAAACAATCACAAATAGGCGCAAAATGAATGAAAGTTGAAGCAAAATTCCTAAGAATAGTGGAAAAAGTACTACAAACACAAAATGACTCAAACAACCACAAATGACCACAAGGAAATGCAGGGACGCGGGAAAGTCAGTCAGAGTTGGGGGTGCGGGGTGTGGGGTGCGGGGTGCGGGGTGCAGGTATGGGTGCGGGTGCGTGTGCGGGTGCGGGTGCGGGGTGCAGGGTGCGGGTGCGGGTGCGGGTGCGGGTGCGGGTGCGGGGTGCGGTGTGTGGGTGCGGGTGCGGGTGCGTGTGTGGGGTGCGGGTGTGCGGGTGCGGGGCGGGTACGGGTGCTGGTGTGTGCGGGTGTGCGGGGTGGCGGGTGTGGGGTGCGGGTGCGTGTGTGTGCGGGTACGGGTGCGGGTGTGGGGTGCGGGTGCGGGTGTGGGGTGCGGGTGCGGGTGCGGGGTGCGGGGTGCGGGTGCGGGTGCGGGTGTGGAGTGCGGGTGCGGGTGCGGGTGCGGGTGCTTGCAGCGGCGAAACTGTGGCGCTTACACTGTAGGCGCGCCGCGTTTGTGCTTCAGATGAGTCTCCCTCCGCAAAATGAGGCTCCCTCCGCGAGGTGAGGCCCCACGCAGTCTGCGTGTAGGGAGGGGCGGCCCTGTATTATAACGTCATACTAAATGCAGTCATTTGGTCTTTAGCAACAGCTTGTGAGAGCAGTGCATTCATCGGTGTTCGTTTTAATGCTGCCAGTTAGTTCACGGCCTGCGTGTTGATGGGACTTCTCATGCTCCCTAAATGTTTCCTCTGCCTTTCGCCAGTTCTTAAACCCTGCTTTCACAAAACTCCCATCCCTGATCTTGTCTGCACTTAGGAGCTTCTTTTCTATAGCAGAGCAACAGAAGAAGCACACTGCATTATCACTTTCTCTTATAGTGAAGCTTTTATAGACTGCGTACACTAAAATGCTAACTAAAAAATAGGAACTCAAAATAAAGTTTGTATGATTTGTTTAGTGAACTTTTTGGCATTGCAGTTCACAACTCTCCGCCAACAGATGGAGGTGCTGCAGCCCCTCGCACCCCCCCTTCCCACGATCCATGATCACTGACTAAAGAAACATCAGAGAGAAGCTGAATTACTGCAAAGAGAGGAGAAGTACTGAAACATACACATAACAACCACATAGAAACAAAAGGACTTAAAGGGGATCAAACAGACTTAAAACGATCACATAAATACAGAAAATGTGTTAAAAAAGATGCAAAAAGACTGAAAGTAGATTTGGTGACCCAAACAAAGACACCCCCCCCTCACTTGGACCTTAAAACAGGAACTTAATCTCAACTTAAATTCACACAATTCAAGTTTTATATCTCTACAAACTCCATCTTAGTGACAAAGTCTGTCCACTCCAGAAACGTTTATAACTACGGCAGTAATGATGAGAAGGAAACAGACGTTGTGTCAGAGTGGAACATTTTCATGTTGCTGCTAACAGGAAGCAGGGGGCGTGTTTCAGACTCTGGACCTTCAGCGTCAGACCATGACCACAAACAGCTCTTATCTGACATGTTATAATCTCCATGATGAATCTAAAGTGAAGAACAGCAGCAACTTGTAAATGCTGGCTTTATTTTGATATGTGATATAAAAGATGACTCAACGAAGAGTGTCCGTAAATAAAACTGTAAATAAGACGTGCTGTTTCTGTCTTAGTGTCTCTACTTTAAAGAGTCCTCTCCTGCTGATGTTCAGGTGTATATCAGTATGTAGTGTCTCTATTTAAAGAGTCCTCTCCTGCTGATGTTCAGGTGTATATCAGTATGTAGTGTCTCTATTTAAAGAGTCCTCTCCTGCTGATGTTCAGGTGTATATCAGTATGTAGTGTCTCTACTTTAAAGAGTCCTCTCCTGCTGATGTTCAGGTGTCTATCAGTATGTAGTGTCTCTACTTTAAAGAGTCCTCTCCTGCTGATGTTCAGGTGTATATCAGTATGTAGTGTCTCTATTTAAAGAGTCCTCTCCTGCTGATGTTCAGGTGTATATCAGTATGTAGTGTCTCTACTTTAAAGAGTCCTCTCCTGCTGATGTTCAGGTGTATATCAGTATGTAGTGTCTCTACTTTAAGAGTCCTCTCCTGCTGATCTTCAGGTGTATATCAGTATGTAGTGTCTCTACTTTAAAGAAGTCCTCTCCTGCTGATGTTCAGGTGTATATCAGTATGTAGTGTCTCTACTTTAAAGAGTCCTCTCCTGCTGATGTTCAGCTGTATATCAGTATGTAGTGTCTCTATTTAAAGAGGTCCTCTCCTGCTGATGTTCAGGTGTATATCAGAATGTAGTGTCTCTATTTAAAGAGTCCCTCTCCTGCTGATGTTCAGGTGTATATCAGTAGGTAGTGTCTCTACTTTAAAGAGTCCTCCCTGCTGATGTTCAGGTGTATATCAGTATGTATGTCTCTATTTAAAGAGTCCTCTCCTGCTGATGTTCAGGTGTATTCATATGCTAGTGTCTCTACTTTAAAGAGTCCTCTCCTGCTGATGTTCAGGTGTATATCAGTATGTAGTGTCTCTACTTTAAAGAGTCCTCTCCTGCTGATCTTCAGGTGTATATCAGTATGTAGTGTCTCTACTTTAAAGAGTCCTCTCCTGCTGATGTTCAGGTGTATATCAGTATGTAGTGTCTCTACTTTAAAGAGTCCTCTCCTGCTGATGTTCAGGTGTATATCAGTATGTAGTGTCTCTACTTTAAAGAGTCCTCTCCTGCTGATGTTCAGCTGTATATCAGTATGTAGTGTCTCTACTTTAAAGAGTCCTCTCCTGCTGATGTTCAGGTGTATATCAGTATGTAGTGTCTCTACTTAAAGAGTCCTCTCCTGCTGATGTTCAGGTGGGTATCAGTATGTAGTGTCTCTACTTTAAAGAGTCCTCTCCCTGCTGATGTTCAGGTGTATATCAGTATGTAGTGTCTCTACTTTAAAGAGTCCTCTCCTGCTGATGTTCAGGTGTATATCAGTATGTAGTGTCTCTACTTTAAAGAGTCCTCTCCTGCTGATGTTCAGGTGTATATCAGTATGTAGTGTCTCTACTTTAAAGAGTCCTCTCCTGCTGATGTTCAGGTGGGTATCAGTATGTAGTGTCTCTACTTTAAAGAGTCCTCTCCTGCTGATGTTCAGGTGTATATCAGTATGTAGTGTCTCTACTTTAAAGAGTCCTCTCCTGCTGATGTTCAGGTGTATATCAGTATGTAATGTCTCTACTTTAAAGAGTCCTCTCCTGGTGATGTTCAGGTGGGTATCAGTATGTAGTGTCTCTACTTTAAAGAGTCCTCTCCTGCTGATGTTCAGGTGTATATCAGTATGTAGTGTCTCTACTTTAAAGAGTCCTCTCCTGCTGATGTTCAGTGTATATCAGTATGTAGTGTCTCTACTTTAAAGAGTCCTCTCCTACTGATGTTCAGGTGGTATATCAGTATGTAGTGTCTCTACTTTAAAGAGTCCTCTCCTGCTGATGTTCAGGTGGATATCAGTATGTAGTGTCTCTACTTTAAAGAGTCCTCTCCTGCTGATGTTCAGGTGTGTATCAGTATGTAGTGTCTCTACTTTAAAGAGTCCTCTCCTGCTGATGTTCAGGTGTATATCAGTATGTAGTGTCTCTACTTTAAAGAGTCCTCTCCTGCTGATGTTCAGGTGGATATCAGTATGTAGTGTCTCTACTTTAAAGAGTCCTCTCCTGCTGATGTTCAGGTGTGTATCAGTATGTAGTGTCTCTACTTTAAAGAGTCCTCTCCCGCTGATGTTCAGGTGTATATCAGTATGTAGTGTCTCTACTTTAAAGAGTCCTCTCCTGCTGATGTTCAGCTGTATATCAGTATGTAGTGTCTCTACTTTAAAGAGTCCTCTCCTGCTGATGTTCAGGTGTATATCAGAATGTAGTGTCTCTACTTTAAAGAGTCCTCTCCTGCTGAGTTCAGGTGTGTATCAGTATGTAGTGTCTCTACTTTAAAGAGTCCTCTCCTGCTGATGTTCAGGTGTATATCAGTATGTAGTGTCTCTACTTTAAAGAGTCCTCTCCTGCTGATGTTCAGGTGTATATCAGTATGTAGTGTCTCTACTTTAAAGAGTCCTCTCCTGCTGATGTTCAGGTGTATATCAGTATGTAGTGTCTCTACTTTAAAGAGTCCTCTCCTGCTGATGTTCAGCTGTATATCAGTATGTAGTGTCTCTACTTTAAAGAGTCCTCTCCTGCTGATGTTCAGGTGTATATCAGTATGTAGTGTCTCTACTTTAAAGAGTCCTCTCCTGCTGATGCTCCAGGTGTATATCAGTGTGTAGTGTCTCTACTTTAAAGAGTCCTCTCCTGCTGATGTTCAGGTGTATATCAGTATGTAGTGTCCTCCACTTTAAAGAGTCCTCTCCTGCTGATGTTCAGGTGTTATATCAGTATGTAGTGTCTCTACTTTAAAGAGTCCTCTCCTGCTGATGTTCAGGTGTATATCAGTATGTAGTGTCTCCACTTTAAAGAGTCCTCTCCTGCTGATGTTCAGGTGTATATCAGTATGTAGTGTCTCCACTTTAAAAGAAGTCCTCTCCTGCTGATGTTCAGGTGTATATCAGTATGTAGTGTCTCCACTTTAAAGAGTCCTCTCCTGCTGATGTTCAGGTGTACTATCAGTATGTAGTGTCTCTACTTTAAAAGAGTCCTCTCCTGCTGATGTTCAGGTGTATATCAGTATGTAGTGTCTCCACTTTAAAGAGTCCTCTCCTGCTGATGTTCAGGTGTTATCAGTATGTAGTGTCTCTACTTTAAAGAGTCCTCTCCTGCTGATGTTCAGGTGTATATCAGTATGTAGTGTCTCTACTTTAAAAGTCCTCCTCCTGCTGATTCATATATAAACATGGAAAGCCCTCCAGATTAGAGTCTAGAAGGTAATATAAGAATGAATGAGTTATTCAGGCCAATGTTTACATGAGGATAGTTTCTTTAGCATATAAAGAAATGCAAATACTTGAGTCACATATTGGGAAACTAATCTCCTTTACAAACAGTGAATGCGTGTGGAGGTATTTAATTGCATGGAAATAAAGGGACTGTGTTGATAATGATGCAGTGCTGGACACACAATAACGTTATGATAGTTTTAAAGAAGATATTG